TTTTTGTTTTTTTTGGGTTGTGTTTATTTGTGTGCCCCCCCCCCCCCCCAACCCTTCTCCTTCCTCATTCAGCTATTTCCATTTAAGAGTAAAAGGGCAAACTTTGCCACTGCTCCCAGGGTTCTGCCTACCAGGCACCTATTGCCTCTGGCCTGTCTCCGTCAAGAGGTCTTGAGCCCAGACTGCTACAACTGCAATAGCAAGTACTCTGCACCTCTTTAAAATTAGGCCTTGGCTCTTAAAATAAGAGTATCCAAAAGTAGCCTTTTGAACGTGCAGACATCACTCTTCTAAAGTGTGAGACCATTTGGAGTCTACTACAACAATTGCATTTGCTTGTAAGACCCTAGTATCCTCTGTCACTTGTGAGTGGCCTCTTCAGTTTTTTTTGAGAACTCTGGCCCATCTATTGACAACCAAGTATGAATCTGCTAAAAATTCTTAATAGCTATTAAATGAATATTTTTTTGTTAAGATACTAGACAATTGAGTTGGTAATTGTATCTCCTCTGTGTACTAGAAGGTTCTTGTCTGATGAACGGAGGCTTACTGAAACCTTTTTTACATGATTGGTTAACTGGGTATAGTTTCACAGCAGTAGTGGGTGTCCCTTCACTCTTGGAAAGTCTGTAAAACTTGTGTTTAAGATGCTGTTGAGACTGCTTATCTCTTGCTTCACTACAAAGCAAGGTACACTTCCTGGATTGAGGTTTTTCTCTGAAAGCTAATGCAAGCAGAATGCATCCTGCTTCAGGGAGCCACCAGACTGTTATCCAGTTACTAGAGTTTAGTCCACTAAAATTTTTCCATTAATTGAGATGGTGGAGGGCAAAAGGGTGATAGCTGTATTGAAGAGTGGTGTCTACGTGGAACGTTGGTAGAAGCTGCAGATCAGCTTAAACAAGGCCAAATGCATTGCTCAGACTTGTAGTTAGTGCTGGAAAAAACTGGTAGCCTGGGTACCAGTTACTTACTGCTCTTGAAATTGTTGACTTGAAATGAACTGACTTAGAAGGCTCAGTCCTTGAGACAAAGGTCTGAATAAATCAATAACATCTGTACATGACCCCTCTTCCAGCTAGAAGCAGAAGTACTAAAATACTGACTGTTTTCACAACGTGTATGCACTGACCAGAAGCAGGAAATACAGATCCTCATAGGTTCACATCACACAACTTTCTCTCTTGTCTTGTCTTTTCTTTTCTTTTGATTTTCTTTTGATTTTGTAGTCTTATTAGCATTGGTACTCAGTAGTAAATCTCCCGGAAGTTTGGTTTGTTTAGGCGTCCATTGAAATCTTATTCAAACATGCCATGTGTCTTGGAAATCCTCTTGTGAAGATTTTCTTTCCATGTTGTGTTACTTTAGGTCCCAGCTTGGCTTGAATACAAGGGTAGAATTACTGATGAGCACACCTGCAAATTCAGGGATGTGTCAGAACTAATCTGACTCCTTGTCCAAGCTCACCTGTGATCCTTGGAAACATAAGACTGGAAGGGTGCCCTCCAGGCCATTGTGTTCAGTCCCCATCCTTGGGGCTAATCCTGTTGAGAACTGGGTCTTGCTAGTAAAGATGCTCTATAGGAAGGCCGTTGCCTGGTATTGAACTTAAAAAAATCTCTCTAATGGGTTACTCCTATTTTTTTTTTCTTTTTGTTCCAGATTTTCCCTGATCCCTCAGACTTTGACCGCTACTGTAAGCTGAAGGACCGCCTGCCTTCCATTGTGGTAGAGCCAACAGAAGGTGATGTGGAGAGTGGTGAGCTGAGATGGCCACCTGAAGAATTCCTTGTCCAGGAAGAAGAGGAGGAGGAGGAGGAGGAAGAGGAAGAAGAAGAAAACTGTGCAGAAACAAAGAAAGAGAACAAGGAGCAGTAAATGGCATCTGGAAAATACAGGGGACTTGAATTGTCTTGAGGGAAGAGCAGACCTGTTCTGAAAAAATGTCTTTTTAAAAAAGAAAAAAAAAGACAAGTTCAATTTTGCACCGGCAAGATCTTAGTTTTTTCATATCTCTGTACTGAGAACTGAAGCCCTCGATGTGACAGAATCTCCAGACCTTCTGAGGAAGGAAATCATACAGAGAAATGTTTGCTGTTCTCAAGATCGCTATCTGAATTTTTAAGGCCAAGAGAAGCAGCAGTGGAATTCTAAGGCACTTAGTGGCAGGTGAACATGCAAGGAACATTTTGATGGGGCGGGGAGGAATAAAGAGAAACCTAAAATGCAGCGGTGTTCAGCAAGGGGTTGACTTTGGCTTCAAATGCATGAGATTTAGAATCTTCATCTCTCAAACTTGCCTTTCTTCTAAGCTTCCATTTGTATGCATTTGGGGGTTAAAGGGAATTTGTGGTAGATCATCGCTAATGGATGTTCTTCTGATTATCTGCTAAGGGATAAAGGATTCTGTAAAGATTGAGTTCAGTACATCCCTAAAACATCACAAATGCCTTTAGGAGTAATAGATCTTTCTCTTGCATCTGTTTCCCGAGTTGGGTTCTTTTCCCCTCTCCTTTACCCCGTATCTGCAGTTAGAACTTGTATTGCTGAACAGGCTATAGTATTAGGCTGCTACTTGCCATCTATTTTGTAAGGTCCTGGTTTTCATATAGGTGGTTAGTATGACTTAATGAGTCTGACCTAACAGTATGTTCAAATCTACATGAACTTTTGCTGTAGAAAGAAATACCTACAGTGTGCTTTCTGTTAGTGAGACTACTGCAATGCCCAAAGCCACTGGTATTTTAAGAGTGGTGGGGATACCTGCCTTCTAGGTGGCATTCATGCTGTATGGTTTCATATCTCAAATATATTGGTCATCAGAACTTGATATGTAGAGTGGTGGCTAGAGAGGAGGAGGGGCATGTTTTTTATTTGGTTTGATCTGTGTTATCAGAAAGGCTTTCCCATAACTCTAAAGCCAAGCTATGCTGGGTGGACCTAGAAGCTGCACAAATCATCCACTAAAGAGTGGATGAAACCAAAAATTCCCGTATATAAACAAAATGTTGTTGCCAAAACTGGTATTGGAGGCAATTTTAAAGTAAAGATAGACTGCTAAAAGGCTGTGGGGGCTGAGGACGGGGCTCCTATGTTCATAAAGTATTATGACTTTTGAGTGTTCTGGACAAGATGTTATGCTTCTGATAATATTCATGGCGTTGAAGAAAGGGAAAGCTGTTGGTAAGGTTGAAGGTGGCATCCTATGCACCTTGTTCAGTTCTGAGTAATAACCTCCTGTGTCTCTTCCTCCAGACTTTTGCTAGGTTGGAATCAGATTGCAGAGAGGACTAAGCTGCCATTTTCCAGGAAAGCTGCAGCCTAGTGACTGTGTAAAAGCCCCTGGGGAGCAATAAAGTGTTGGTTCAGAGCTGACAGTTCTGGGAATAAAATGCCATTTCATTTCCATTTTAAAAACCGATCTGGAGACACTAAGGAGAAAAATGGCAAATGTAAAGGCCTTAACCAAACAGGAAGAGTAAACCCAATGTGTATCCCCTTGCTTTGTAACTGGTTTCATTTAAAAAAAAAATCTATTTGGCTGTGTGTGTATTTGTATTTTAATACCTCATGAGTAGTTAAACGCTGGTGGGGGTTAGGGAATTGCTTTCAACATACTGGCAGGATTGTTTTAGTCTCGTCTTGCTTGTGTTTTAAACATAATGGCAATAACTTATCAGCTCTATGTAACTGTTTCAGACAGACATAAGAGAAGAGAGACTCACCCTTGCATTGTTCTTGACTAGTAACAGTGTAAGTTGCAGCTCGTCTCTTTTTGTTCTTTTGGCAGCAAAGAACCAGTCTTGCGCACACTTATTACTGGTCTTGGTAGACGGTCTCTCATCACAGAACTCCAGTCATGATCTAGTGATGTTATCATTTTTAAACCAATGAATCCAGCTGTTGTATCTAACATCTGTTCTAGTCTTGCTGTCTAATGGAGTGAGCTTCTCCACCTGCGTATCAGCCATCCTGTTTTTGTTTAAAGAACAAACAAAACAATAGTACTTGCTGATCTCCAGTCTGTACCACCAAATTGAAGCTCTGTATCAAAGAGATTACTGTGTGGGCAGCAAACAGTTGGAAAACCTTGGACTGTAGATCCAAGGAAAAATGCTGTCTGCCCTAAAGACTTGCATATTTCTGTCTGCATACTTTTTTTTGGAAGTATTGTGTATATTTCTAGGTGTTGTTGAACATATCTGAAGAACAAAGCACTCCAGTAAAACTCCTCCTGTTGTATGATATACATTCTATATTTCTGTAATTCTTTTTGAGCCTCAGGGAGAAGCTAGCGTTTTTTTCAAACTACTTTTTTGTCACTGTGACAGTTGTAAATAAAGTTTGAAAATGCTTTCCAACTTGGTAGCTTCCTTTTTTTGTATTTTCTCTCCAAGGGGCAGGAGGGACGGGAAGTGGTAGGGGGTGTTGGATTATATATTTCCCTGAAGCCAGCCCAGGGATTGAACTCTTAATATGTGTTTGAAATGAACTTCAGAAGCACACCTGGGACATGCATGGATACCACTGAAGTCAATGGAACTCAAGCACATGTTTAATTTTCAAGTTGTGCAGGCAAATGTTGATTGGGGGGCCCTAAATCACTTGAAAGCCAGCAGTCCATTGCCCTGCTGCTTCACTGCCTTACACCTCACAGACTTGGTTATATCTAGTCAAAGGACTAAAGGGTTTTTTTTCCTTCCTCCACCCCCTTCAAAAGGTATAAATAAGTTGGGTATTATTTCATTATTCCTAATAACCTACTGCAAAATAGCACCCCACCCCATGCCTTCTTTCCTTAGGTTAATGGAGAACTGGGCAGACCCTTGATTCTTGTTGATAGCTTAAATTCTTTTCCTCTTTTAAAAATACATTGATGCACATAACTGCAGCAAGGGAAATTTAGGTGGGAAATTTAAAAGAACTTTACCACTCTGAGGGTGTTTAAACATTGGATCAGGCTCTCCACCTCCATCCTTGAATGTTTCTGAGAGCAGATTAGATGAGGGGTCAGAAACGTTTTTGGGCAGAGTACAAAAAAAACACCACAACCTAGACTTATAAGATGTTGGTATGCCAGGTGTCGACAGCAGGGGAGCTGCGAGGGTGTTTAAACATTGGATCAGTCCTTGTTGTGGCAGTGCAGCCTTGGCCCCTTCCCTGAGGCACACGTGCCAAGCAAATTGCTTGTGTGCCATGCTCTGGCATACTTTTGACTGATAGTTTAGTTGGGAATAATCCTACTTTGAGCAGGGGACTGAGCTAGATGACCTCCTGAAGTCCCTTCCAGCCCCACTTTTCTATGTTTCTATATAGAAATCTAAGCAGGATGCCAACTCGGTAGGTCCTCTATATTTAATAGAGTTACAATTTTCCACTTGGAAATTCAACTAAAATGACCATTCCATAAACTCTTCTTCCAGGTGGAGGGACATAGCAGTTTGTCACTGTCTAGGCCAGTAATGAGCAAGGATGTTATGTTCCCAGAAATTAATTGGTCTGACTGGAGCATTAACTACATTACACTGGCTTAAATATAAGTTGGGACCTTAAAATGAAATCCTGGGAATTGAGGGCAACTCTAGCACTAAGCCCTGGTTTAAAGATTCTTAATGCTTCCTTGCCGCTGTGATGTGGATATTTGCATTAGTACCTCCAGTGGAAAAATGTCAAGCTGGCCCTTTCCTGATGGGACTGTTGTTTAAGTTGCTTCCTAAAGGCTCCTGTTTAATTAAAGTTTTTCACTTCTTCAGTTTTCAATTTTTATCCATTGTGGAAATGTTGCAGCAATCTGTCAAACAACGGGCATCAGTCTGTGAAATCACTTGGGAAGCTGCATATACTTGCCCAGAATATTGATTTTTCTTTTTTCCACCCCCCACCAATAACAAAAGACTGAGGTGGTCTGAGAGTATAGGGAGAAAAGTACTGTGAGCAATTAAACATACTTGCCCACCACCTCAGTGCATTTGACCTGAAAAGTTGTTCTGACTCATGAGAACAAATTTGGATTAAGCAGGGGGTGAGAGAACAAGATGCAATGATTTGTGCTCTGGGATGCAACCAAACGTGAAGTAGTTGAGCAGGAGTCCATCATCTGCCTGAAGACAGAACTGAAACAGCACTAGCAGGTTATATGGGTGAGGGTGCGGGTAGAGTAACATGTTGATTTGATATTTTTAGCTGGCATATCCACACTCCTGTATATAGGCAGCCAGCACCAGACAACTAAAGTGGATCTGGACTGCTGCCAGAGAGTGGTACGGAGTCTCCCAGGGCACTTCTCTGACTGCATGATAGTCCTCCCTTACAAATCAGGGGCAAGATCCGGAAGCTAATTAGGAGGTGCTTTTTTTCCCCTTCTCTCCCCTCTGAATGTTTAGTTCCCCTTGAAGTGAGAAGATGCTGTGGTTATTATTTCTGCTTGGAGCATTAACTCATTAAAGAAGTGTGTGAGATTGTAAGTCACTGATTCTCAGCCAGGGTGACTTCAGATCCTTTCAACGGTGCCACACAATGTTAGCACTGTTAGATTTACAAACGTGATTCACAAGTTTAACTCAGAGATTTCAAAGAGAAATTCATAGTTGTGGCCTTTCTCAGCTCTTTGTAACAGAAAAAAAACCCTGCTGTATTATTTTTTGTAGGCCAAAAAGAGTGAAAACTAAGGGCTGGCATTTTCTGAGGGGTGCCTTGAGTTTAAAAACGCTGAGAACCACTGCTCTAAGGTAATGCAGGCAACTAGTTGCACACTGCTGCCTTTCACCTCTCATCCCACAGAATTGTTCTGGGTCCATTTTTTTGCCCCAGTTTTGGTGCACAGCAATAATCTGAGCTGAGCTTTCTCTCTGAATTTGTCCCTCTGTGTGCTGAGCCCTGTGGGGTGATTTTGCCAGTAAATTCAGTGTTACTCCATCACGCCTGCACCTGGTGAAAGGCTTCTCCATGGCTTCATTGTCTACTAGTGCTGGTACAAGCTCTCTTACAGTGTTACCAGACTTCCACCAGGCTAAGGAACGATGCCTCTTTCATAGTTATGAGTGGGGAATGGCCTCAGGGTCCAGCTTCCTATTTCTGTCCCTAATCAGAGAAGTTCCTAACAGCCTAAAAACCTTTGTGACTGACTGAGAAGTCCACCTTTGTGGTGCTGGTTTAGACCATTTACTCTCTACTCCTCTTTGGGAAGCCTGAAAGCACAATTTAATCTAGGCTCATGAGCTACAACAAAATGAAAGAGGTAAATGATACCAAGGAGCAATCCACTTTAATACATACGCTTCAAGCTCTCCAAAGCAATCAAGCCAACCCAAATGTCTCTCTGTAAACTAGAGCAATTACTGTACTCTAAATCCTTATCAGAATGGAATATAAGAGCTCTAAAACAGCCCAGGTTTTAAATGAGTGATTGCTTTCTGTTTACAATTGACTGGACAAAAAAAAAAAAAAAAGAAAGAAAGAGGAACAACATTATGAAAATGATGCGTTTAAAATCATTAAAATGATGAGATTACATATCTTCCATCATCAGGGTGGGGTAGAGGAGGGGAATACCAAGGCGTTGTGTGTCAGGATCCAGGGGGGGCCAGGGGAAAAGGACTTGGTAGTGGGTGTCTACTATAGACCTCCTCACCAGGACAACGAGCTAGATGAGGTATTCTCCAGGCAGCTCTCAGAGGCCATTCAGGTGAGGGAGGCAGTGGTCATGGAGGATCTAAATTACCCAGACAACTGCAGGGAGGAGCAGACGGCCAAAACAAACCACTCGTGTAGGTTTTTACAGTGTGTGCAGGACCTCCACCTAACCCAGGTGGTGTCCAGTCCCATCAGGGGTAGCGCCTTGCTAGACCTGGCCTCAGCAACAGGGGATGATTTTGTGGGGAACCTGCAAGTACACAGTAACCTGGGAGATAATGACCATCACTTGGTAGAGTTCACTATCCAGCAAAGGGTGGGAAAAATATCCAGTGAAGCCAAAGTGTTAGACTTCAGAAGGGCCAACTTTACTAAACTTAGAAGCCTAGTTAGTGAGGTGGCAGAACTCAAGAGCATTGAGCAAATGGGGGTCCAGGAGGGTTGGAGGTTTCTCAAGGGAGTGATCCTTGGGGCAAAAAATGAGTCTATCCTCTTACGCAGGAAAGGGGGTAAGGGGATAAAAAAGCCCCCTTGGCTGAACAGGGAGCTCCAGAAAAGACTGGGGGCAAAGAAAGAGATTTACAGGCAGTGGAAGTAGGGGGCAGCCACCAAGGAGGAATACACCTCCCTGGCGTGCTATTGCAGGGAATCAGTTAGGCAGGCCAACGCAGTTCTGGAGCTTAGGCTGGCTATAACAATTAAGGACAAATAAAAGTCCTTCTACAGGTACATAGCGAGCAAAAGGAAGGTGCAGAGTAGCATAGGGCCCCTGCAGGAAAAATCAGGTCAGTTGGTGGCTGACGCAAAGAAAAAATTGGAGCTGTTCAGTGAGTTCTTCGCTTCAGTATTCCTAAGTACTGACCAAGACAATTCCCCCACCTTGAACACAGACAGATGTCCAAAAGGCACCAGACTGCCAAAGGTTGGTGCTGACTTAGTTAAGGAGCACTTGGAGAGGCTGGATGGTTACAAGTCAGCCGACCCAGATGACCTCCATCCATGGGTGCTGAAGAATTTGGCCAGTGTCATAGCTGAGCCACTGGCACGACTGTTTAAGAACTCATGGTGCTCCGTCCAGATCCCTGAGGACTGGAAAAGGGCCAATGTGGTACCTATTTTTAGGCAGGGAAGAAGGGATGAGCTAGGTTACTTTAGGCCAGA